GCAGTTTATGAAGCAGTTCTCCGAACGAAGGGAGAACGGTCTCCAAACGCTGGAGAACGGTCTACAAACTCTGGAAAATGGCTCATTTTACTATAACCTCACGAGATTACAGTAAAAGATCATTTTACTAAACAGAGGTAAATTATCTCTGCTTAGTTTTCGGTCCCTCTGATTCTCCAGCTCTGGGCTGGAGAATTTGGAGGGAGAACACAGATCTCCAGAGAAGGGCTGACATGTTCTCCTGAGTTTCATAAACTGTGAATGACCAGAGAATAGCTGAGATCTGTTGAATCGCAGCTATTCTCTGTGTCATAAACGGACACCTTAGTTCTCAATGGAACATGTGTTTGATAATCTCTGCACCTGTAGTCCATTGATACTTCTTTCAGCTCTCCAACTGAAAGCCCATACCTCTCTACAGGCAGAAAGCTGGAATCTGCAACAGCCTGGAATTATACCCATGATCCGCTAATTGTGGGTGCAATGCTTTGCAGGTTCCTATGCAAAAGCAATAATAAATGCACATTTGTTTTTGTTGCTGGAAATATATGTGCATCTTTCATTTTCTTTAAAAGGTGGACTTAGCCTGAAAGATGTGATCATGACCTTTTCTAACAATTATGACTGAGCTACAACAATTTGAGTTGCAAAAAATTTTCTGCGCTTGCAAATCTTAACAGCTTCCCGATCGCAGAAATACTGCTACAGGGCGGAACGGGTGTGCGGAATCACATATATATGTGATTTTCCTTTTTCCCGGGTAGGGGGTGTGCACAACTCGTGCGTGTGCCCTACCGGCTCTGCCATTCGTGGCCGCGGCTGTCAACTACCGGGTCCCTGCCGGTAATTATTTTCAGGTGCCCGGTGATTTCCGCAGATCTCCAAGGGGGAGAGAACTGTTTTGTTTACTAACAGTTCTCCCTGTCAGCTTGGGCACACTGCTTTGGATGGCTCTGCACAGCACAGCCATCCAAAGCAGTGTGATTACAGTGAAGCACACTGACACCGCCCCCTAGTATAACACTCCCTGCACAGTTAACCCTTTGATCGCCCCTCATGTTAACCTCTTCCTGCCCAGTGCCATTACTTCAGTGTCAGTGCTTTTTATTAGCACTGATCACTGTATTGGTGTCACGTGGGATGTCAGTGACACCAAGTCAGTTCCCCCCAGTGTCAGAATGTCCACTGCAGTCCTGCAATAAGTCACTGATCGCCACCATTTCTAGTAAAAATAAAATAAAAAAAAAAACAGTATATATACTGCCATTTGTAAACGCTATAACTTTCAGGCAAACCAATTACTTTACACGTACTGGGATTTTTTGTAGCAAAGACATGTTGCAGAATACATTTTGGCGTAAATTTATGATGAAATCTAATTTGTTAAATTTTTGTACTGGACATGTTTAATAGCAATATAAACCATATAAATGCTGCGCTACATTCAAACTTATTAAGTGAATGTGGAATCCAATGACACAAATCCAATATAGTGACAATAATAATGAAATAAATAATACGTGCTTACTGATAACAAAATTATCAAATAAAACACCCAAAAGGATGAAAAAAACACAAACTTAAATCTATACGCATGTGCATGAAAATACACATACATATAATTACATCACACGTGCAAATGTGAAGTGAAATAATGGTTACTTATTAAACGCAAACAAAAAGTCCAATATAAAAATGTTGAAGGTGAACAAAACTGTAAACGGTGTTTCCAATAATACTGTAAAGTGACCACAGGTGAAAACAAATCGTGCAGGTATCTGGGTGTAGATAGAGCTTATGAATCCAACCACCTTCTGGATTAGCCTCTCACCTCATCACTTCGACCCTTGCGGATCAAAGAGCAATAATGGATCCCTCTCACAGATCCTCCAGGCACCACAGCACTCCAAAAACGCTTTTCAGGATTTAATATTCCCACTCAAGCTCTTCTCCAGGTATAGGTGAAATATCAATCTCTCAGAACAAAACAGAGGAATCCTCCCATAGTGTAGTATATTTATTATACCATAGGAACATAGGAACATAAAACTTTTTGGTAAAAATTCCACTTACATAGCAGCCAGTCCACATGAGACCCTCATGCTCTCAGATGAGGATATATCTGTGTCTCATCTGAGGACACAGATATATCCTCATCTGAGAGCATGAGGGTCTCATGTGGACTGGCTGCTATGTAAGTGGACTGGCTGCTATGTAAGTGGAATTTTTACCAAAAAGTTTTATGTTCCTATGTTCCTATGGTATAATAAATATACTACACTATGGGAGGATTCCTCTGTTTTGTTCTGAGAGATTGATATTTCACCTATACCTGGAGAAGAGCTTGAGTGGGAATATTAAATCCTGAAAAGCGTTTTTGGAGTGCTGTGGTGCCTGGAGGATCTGTGAGAGGGATCCATTATTGCTCTTTGATCCGCAAGGGTCGAAGTGATGAGGTGAGAGGCTAATCCAGAAGGTGGTTGGATTCATAAGCTCTATCTACACCCAGATACCTGCACGATTTGTTTTCACCTGTGGTCACTTTACAGTATTATTGGAAACACCGTTTACAGTTTTGTTCACCTTCAACATTTTTATATTGGACTTTTTGTTTGCGTTTAATAAGTAACCATTATTTCACTTCACATTTGCACGTGTGATGTAATTATATGTATGTGTATTTTCATGCACATGCGTATAGATTTAAGTTTGTGTTTTTTCATCTTTTTGGGTGTTTTATTTGATAATTTTGTTATCAGTAAGCACGTATTATTTATTTCATTATTATTGTCACTATATTGGATTTGTGTCATTGGATTCCACATTCACTTAATAAGTTTGAATGTAGCGCAGCATTTATATGGTTTATATTCACTTGATCACTGGTATATGATTTAATGCTAGCAGCTGTTTGGGGTTCATATATTTAATTTGTTTTAATTGTTTAAACACATTATTTGGAGCGCAGGAGGGTCTCACCACTATTGCTATATTTATGTTTAATAGCAAAAAGTCAAAAATATTGTTTTTTTTCTGAAAATTGTCGGCCTTTTTTTTTATAGAGCAAAAAAAAAAAGACGCACAGGCGATCAAATACCACCAAAAGAAAGCTCAATTCGCGGGAAAAAAGGATGTAAATGTAATTTGGGTGCAGTGTTGCATGACCGCGCAATTGTCAGTTAAGCAGCACCGTAATGCAAAAAATGGCCTGGTTAGGAAGGGGCGGGGGGGTAAATCCCCAGGAGGGCAAATGGTTAAAGTGTTTTGAAGTCACATTACTATCACAGAAAATTGCAAATCTGCACTATAATCTGGAACAGCACCAGTGGGAATTTAATCTGCAAGTTAAAGCGGAGCTCCACCCAAAAGGGGAAGTTCCACTTCCAGGTGCCCACGCTAAAGGTGCCGGCCCGGGCAGAGAAAATGGCTGGTGAAAACAGCCGTAGTGAGGACACCGTTGGATTGAGGGACAGGTAAGTGTCTGTATTTTAAAAGTCAGCAGCTACAGTTTTTGTTATTGCCAACTTTCATTTTTTTTTCAACTTGAACGCCGCTTTAAGGGTACATTGTTCCAAGATTGATGACATTTCTGATTGATTAGATTGATGACACTGGGGGGGGGGGGGATTTATTAAAACTGATGAACTCAGAATCTGGTGCAACTGTGCATAGTATAGATTCTGCTTGTTTTAGTAAATCCTCCTCTGTGTGTTAGAATGTAGAGTGAATAATGCAGGAACTTGGGGGAAATCTTTCCAACATAGACAAAGAGGCCAATAAAAACATACACTTTGGAATAGTGTTTTTATCACTTCATTCTCAGCATATATTATTTTGGCAGAAAAACCCTTGCTGTTAACATATTATAGTATGTGCTTGTGTTGGCGCAACAAATCTTCACTGCAAAGTAATGTTTTGTTTAGTGAAAAAAATGTGTTGCCAGTGTAACAGAAGCCTTGGGAATATTAGACTTTAAAGGTTAGGATATAACGTTTTGGCCTTACGTTTCGAGAATAGGAGTAGATTTTAAGGTTGACAGTTGGTTAAGGGTTGGAGTTGATGTTTATGTTAAGGTTAGGATTAGGATTAGGTTACTTTATTTTAGGTTTAAAATATAAAGTACCTACTTTATATGTGCCAGACATTTCAAAGCTGAATATTATTCACAATTAATTTGCATATTAGTTCTCTAAAATCCCCACATCAAAAATAAGCACATTGATTGAAGTCAAAGATTATCTGATTTATGTTCCCTCATGTTTCTCTCCCTGATTTATGAAGATGCTCATGAGTGCTTAACCTCCCTGGTGGTATGATTATTTCAGATTTTTGGTGCTGAAAGCGGTACCATTATTTTCCATGGAAATTTGGCGTTTTATTTCGTAGGCCTGTAATTCTTAGGAATAACTCACTGACATCTGTCCCAACAAGAGTCTAGTAAACACCCCCGGGTAGGATAAAACTTGAAACACGAAATAATAAATTATAATTTAATAAATAATCATAAAAAATAATAATATAATAATAATAAATTTAATTCAATAATATAATCAAACCAAAAACACTGAAATTTTAAATATAGCGCCAAGTTCGCACATCACTGAGCAAAGTCGCAAAATTGTTTTCAGTGTCTGATGACGAATTTCCCCACGAATCATTATCACTCAATTCTGCAAGTGGTTCTGATTTACTATCGCTGTTCTCTAGCTGGTCTAAAACCTCTTTTGACCTAAAGGGACGCTTTTTGGATGCCATGGACGTTTCTCAGTTTCCAGGCAATAAGAACAGTAAAAATGCAGGCAGGGCACAGGACAAAGCACTCGGGACAAAATGTATGTGAAATGGTTTGATACAGTAATGTTTTACTATGTGATTTTAGTGATTTTAGTGAATGTCACTTTTGTCATTTTCAAATTTCCTGCCGTTCCGTCCCCCGTACGTCCCGACGCTCGCAGGGGACAGAACCCAGAAGACAGATGCTGGCGTCCGCCGGATTATATTGCTGGGGACACTGCAGGAGGGACATCGCGGGAGCGCAGGACAAGGTAAGTGCAGAAGGGATCGCGGAGCAGCGCCGCATGGTAAGCCTGAGTGTAGCTCGGGGTTACCGCTTGTGGTATTGAAACTTTACCCCGAGCTACACTCGGGAATACCGCCAGGGAGGCTATAGTGTTACTAAACCCACAAGAGTAAAATCAGCCTGTATATGCAGTAAAGCATGCTTGTTATACTCACTGTGGAACCTAAGGGATTAATCCTCTGCATTGTGTAAAAAGACCCTTTGATCATGACTTCTCTGCTCCTCCTCTTGTTCAAATGTCCACGTCTTATCTCCCGATAAGACAGACTGACAGTAGCCATTCTGCACATGCTCAGTTTAGTGTGTATTGCTAGAGAGTTTTTTTTTTTTATTTAACATCTTTTACAGAGCATGTAAGTATAACATCTTTTTATGCAGTACTGCCCCTGCACGGGCTCCTGAGATTAGATAAGTTCTCCCAGGTAGTACAAAGGCTGCTAGTCACACACAAGTACAATCCCACACACACCAACAATATAGGCTTAGTCTAGGGCAGTGAGTGATGGCGAACCCGTGGCACGCGTGCCACAGCCGGCACGCCGAGCCTTATCTGTGGGCACACCAGGAGAATACCGTATTTTTCGCTCCATAAGACGCACTTTTTTTTTCCCCAAAAAAGAGGGGAAAATGTCAGTGCGTCTTATGGAGCGAATATAGAGCGGCCGGTCCGGTATTTTCCAACCGCCGCCGTGTCAGAATACCGGGCCGGCCGCTCAGCTCTGCAGTGGGACCGTACCTGTCCCTCTATCCAGCGGCGCGCTGTCTTCCCGGCTTCTGTAGTGTGCGTGACAGCCGGGTCCCAAGTGCGCATGCGCAAGAAGCAGTGCTCTTTGTGAATGGTAAGGTGGTACCTGGGACACATGACAGATCCCAGAAGCCGCCGGACCAATCACAAAGCGCAGCGCTTCTCGCGCATGCGCACTGGGCATCCAGCTGTCCGACGAGCTCCCACACTACAGAAGCCGGGAAGACAGCGCGCGGCTGGATAAAGGAACAGGTAAGATAAAAAAAAAAACTCTGCGGAAGTAAGAGCGGGTACCTGTCAAATTCAGGTACCCGCTCCCCCTCCCTCCCCAAAGGTCAGCAGTCATCTGTACTGTCCGCAGTCTCTGGTCATCCCTGTACTGTCTGCAGTCTCTGGTCATCCCTGTGCTGTCCGCAGTCTCTGGTCATCCCTGTGCTTTCCGCAGTCTCTGGTCATCTCCTGTACTGTCCGCAGTCTCTGGTCATCCCTGTACTGTCCGCAGTCTCTGGTCATCTCCTGTACTGTGTCCGCAGTCTCTGGTCATCCCTGTACTGTCCGCAGTCTCTGGTCATCCCTGTACTGTCCGCAGTCTCTGGTCATCCCTGTACTGTGTCCGCAGTCTCTGGTCATCCCTGTACTGTGTCCGCAGTCTCTGGTCATCCCTGTACTGTGTCTGCAGTCTCTGGTCATCCCTGTACTGTGTCCGCAGTCTCTGGTCATCCCTGTACTGTGTCCGCAGTCTCTGGTCATCCCTGTACTGTTAATTAGTTTGCACTACTGTACAAGTTGTTTTTTCTAAACCAAAAGCTCGATATTCAGGTTTCATTGCAGTGTTGGCACTTTGAAACAAATAAGTTGGTTTTGGGTTGCAGTTTGGGCACTCGGGCTCAAAAAGGTTCGCCATCACTGGTCTAGGGAATGTCTTTTAGGTATTATTGCTGAGGAACTTTAACAGGAGAGGGGTTTAGGGTCACAGGATACTCCAAACTAATCAGTAACAATAGGAGGACAAACTTCTCTCTAATCTTTGAAAAGCAGCATTTCTGGAGGCAGCAGGAAATGGCTAGTACATGCAGGACCCTACTAAAGTAGTCCATGAAGCCACTTCTGGCGCTTACAGTTGTTACTTTATGGCACTTGCACAGAACGTGTAAACGGGCAGAACATGTAACATGTTCTCAAAGGTGAACCTATCCTTTAATTCAACTGAAAAGTATTGTGAAAACTGAAAGTATTTAAATACAAAATGGGGGTAGCCTGTTCTAGGGGAAATGTTTATGAGAACGTTGGAGTAGTATTTAAATAAGGTTGGAGAGAGAAGGGGGGGAGGAGGCTAATGATAAAATAATAGGACAGATAGAAAAGAGAAGGAAGGATACAACTAGAGCCGGAAATGTGAGAAGATGGGGGAAGGATTAAAAATACCATATTTAAATATGAATTACATATGCGTTATATGCTACAAATGTCATATGTCAACAGAAGCAAGCACATATGTACCCTGAATAATGCCCAATACTATGCAAAAGTTGTTATTTAGGGTATATATGTGTTTGACTTAACCCTTTCACTGCCAGTCCCTGCACTCAACTTTTAAGCTCAGGTGGCCAGGCCATTTTTGCACTTTTTCCAGTTCTTTATTTTTCTCTTGCAGCTTTCAGAGTTTATGATCCCCCCCCCCCCCAAAAAAAAAAAAAAAAAACATATATGCTACTGATTTCATTTATTTGAATTAGGCCCTATGATATTTACGCAAATGTTCATCAAAACAATTTTTTTGCCAAAAATACACTAAAATCATTATTAGCGTAATTATTATTAGCCTATACATGGCAAAATTTACAAAATTCCTGTTTAATTTCTACTAAATAAATTGCGCCTTTTAGTGAAATGGTGAAAACTGAAGGTGCCCAAAGCTATAAATAAAATTAATTTATTCTATAAATCTGGAGGTTACCATTTTTCACTTACATTTTTCAGAATTTGCAAAAGACCCCCCCTCCAAACCATATATTTTCTGAAAGCACATTACCTGTAGAATAAAAAAAAATGCTACTGACTTTTTAGGCCCCACAAATGTTCAATGATCAATGGTCAATTTACTGTTTTTGCTAAAACTAGTTTTGAGTTCAGCACTAAAAGGTAAATAAGACTAAAGTGACTGGTGTTCATGTTATTTTCTGCCCCACCTTGCACCAAGGACTAGACCCTAAGGTTGAAATGCTAGCCTTCCTCATTACTTGATGGGTCATTCTATGCCACCACAAGGAGTGGTGCTACAGTCTATGTGGGAAATCCTCTGCATTTTTTTGCTTGGTCTGTGAACACTAAACATCAAGGTTTTGCTGTAAACTCGTTGTTTTGCTGAATCTGGACCTCATCCCTAATTAGTACTTGGTGACAGATTTGCAAGACATTTAGAAAGTTAAACTTCTTATAATGCATTGCAGGACCTGAAGAACAGCAGCAATCTTATTTTATAATGTTTTGCATTTTTCCATCACTGTAATAAGGAATTCAGCACAATCATTTTGATAGGAATTAGTACAATTTGTGAACATGAAAACATTTATTGTCATTCATTCTTATTAACCTACAGTTAAACTTGCCAAAATACTCAGACAGGTGTATAAATCAGACCAGTCACCGGGTAATTTCTCCAACTGACAGCCAGTCATAATGCATGCCTGCATGTGTCTTCTTGCCAAGTCAAATTATTGCACAGGTTGTGAAGCTGACATATGCTATGTCCCTATGTGCATTTGTTACTAGCACTGTGCTGACATTTAGTTGGTGGGTAACAGGTCAAACTGTACATCCCCAAGTACCTAAACAGTTTGATTAAAGACAACAGTGGAGAAAATGTACATATTTCACCACATATGTGACATGTTACAAAACACTGAGATAATATTTCAGATTCCTTTGTGAAAATCAAGTTGGCTGGATGTTATGCTCTTCCTTCTTTACTATTAATCAGACACTGACCTCGCATAACAATGCACATTGGAGGCACTTCCTTCCTTGGATGCTACTGCTAGATGTGTGTATTACTAAGAAATACGCACTTCTAAAATTCTTAGGAAATATATTTTTTTTATGTCTTCTTTAATTGTCAATCAGTTACTTTTTAGTTTACTTCTTTTTATTTTCACAAAGTGATTTGTAGTTCCATCATATGTGCTTTCTATTTTTTTTTTGTTGGTTGGTTCAATACATCAAAAGATACATTTCTAATGGGTTTACCTTATCTTTTAAAGTTATTGCAAATGCATTGAGGAGGTACCACTATTTTCCTGCTTACATCTCTTTATCTTTAGGCCTCTTTTTCACTGGCACTGTAACCCTTTGTTTATATTTATATCTATTCTATTCATTTCTAAATTCATATGTAATGATTTTTCAGTGGCATCATTCATACTGTGTGTTTTCCTGTGATCAGTTTAACTGTGTTCACATTAAATAGAATTCTGTGCATTCTATTTAAAAACACATTTACATGTGTTTACACATGCTTAAGTGCATTTTACCTGATTTAACTCTTTCACTGCAGTGGGAAGGTGGTGGTGGTGGTGGTGGGGGGCTTCACACACTTCTGGCTGCTACACCAGCTGAGAGTGTATGTATATAATTTTTTACAAGCTGATTGTTGACTGTCAGATGCAAGTGATTGGGTTTCTGCAACAAACAGTCTATCCCTGCACCCCCATCATGTTTGGGGGCTCTAAGCTCCCATCAGCAGACTGGCATGGTGGGTGCTGCTAGGTAGAGAGGAAGGAGATCACTGAATGTCCATTTGCTGATCTCCCCTTCTTACTAAGAACCCAGAAGCTGCATGAAAATCCTTATTTTTAGGTTTGGCTGCCCGTTTCCCCCAGCTGCTCTGGACCAGAGAAGAAGCTAATGGAGCACAATCTACGCTCCAGTAGCTTTACTGGAGGGCAAGTGGGACATCAGGGGCCTGCAAGTACAGATTGAAATCACCACATAGGATCTCCTTTACATGCCATTTCCTTCTTACTGTTTCTGTTTGATAATTCAGCCCTCTTCTGAGCAACCCTGAAAAATATGACTTCTGACTCCTGACATCAGTATGGCAGGTTGCATTCACATCATTTTACAACAGCTAGATAGAGGAACTGAACAACTCTCTGATGATGAAAACATTAAAGAGCATCTATGGTCAAAATTTAAAGCCATGTATTAGTTTCCATTTTGTAATTTAAATATTTCTCGCCTACTATTATTCTGAATGATCTTGAAGTTTGTAAACTTACTTTGTGAAGATACAATGGCAGTTACTTCCTTGAACTTTGTGATATTTTTCACAATGTCCTGTAGGTAGGCACTACTGTGTCACATATTTCAGAAAGCCTGTCTTCTGAACTACAGGGGTGCTCAGAGTAGGGGTTTTAGGAGGTGGCAAGGTACCATGGGATAGTCCTAAGAAATTCAAAGTAAACAGTGGAGGGGAAGCTCCATCCTGGGGGTTATAGAAAGAGATAACCAGCAGACAGGCAGCATTCACAACATGAAAGGAAATGTTTCCTGTTCAGTTGTGTTTTCCAGTACAAAGACAGTGGGGGTAAAATACCAGCATTGTTTTAACGCAACACAGAATACAAAATAGTACAGATGCCATCTATCAAAAAGTGAGGTCATTAATAACTTCTTCACAATAATGGACTATTTGTCATACAGCATAGAAACAGATATGAGTAAACATGAAAGCATATGGAAAGTTTATCAGAGTGGCTTATATTATGGACATTGTTAATGTCATCAACAGGGCATCTAGGTTTATCACAAGATGATAAGCGAGAAGTAGGAAGAAGAAGAACAGAAGGAAGAGAGAGAGAGAGAGATAGGGTGCAAGGAATAGGGACAGGAGGGCAAGGGTGGGGAGTAGAGAAGGAAAAATTCCCACCTCTCCATGGGCCCTGCTAGTGTGTTAAATCCTAAAGACTCACGGCTCTTTGGTTTCGGTGGCCATATGAAATTCACGCTGTCCATATTTTCAAGAATTTTTCATAGGTATCTGAAGAGATAGCTGACAGCTTCTTGTTTACCATGGTTCCATTCAAACGAGAGTGGACTTCATGGACTTCAACATGGTAGATTTCCACAAGTGATCAATTATTTGTTTTGGTGGAAAATATAAAGGTGACTAATTGCGCTGTTGAACATGAGACACCCTCTAGGGATTTATTCAGTAGTGCTTCTGAAAGGAAATTTCTCATGTAAGATTGTCAAAAATAGCTATTGTCTGTATTGATTTTACAATGTTGATGCTATAAAATGAACGTGTATGCTGTGACCGTAGAACGCATTTAAATTCCCATCAGTCTTAGCTAAAGATTCCAGAATTTAGTCTGTACCACATGACGACTCATCTCAGTGCTAAAGCTGGGGAGAATGCTCAACAAACTTACAGTTTGATATGAATAACACTCCTTTGTTGGCAATAAACTTGAAGTAGATTAAAAAAAATCTATATTTTCAATTCTTTGCCACTGACTGTACACATATATGCGACCTCACTGAAGTGGATCTTCTTCTGTGAGGCTGCATTTACAGTATGCATACATATCTTTGCTGGGAGTGCACTGTGCAATGCACTCCCATTACAAAGGGACTGCCCCAGGTCCCATACTAATGATTGGGAAACGGAAAGCCCGGTTGGGCTGTACTAT